TTACATAGTCTGAATAGACATTTCAGTTTTATATCCGCTGCCTCTTTTGAATAATTAATCGTCACTCTCTAATCCACCGATTGGGTATAAGTGCTTTGACGCGAGGACATTACTGAAACAGTATGTTTATTTTATTCTAGCAGATGCATTCTTAGAGGTTGAGCCAAGAAAGCAAACCTTCTGAAATCCAGCGCACCTTCACATTCTTTTATGTGCTTTGGCATGAGGACTGTGTGATGATTGCACACATTCTGTGACAACAAAGAACAGGAGAGGCGGTGCAGGAGAGAGTATAAAGACGGGGAAAGAGTCTTGACAGCCTTGAATCAAGATGCTCTAAATGCTCCTCATGTCGTTGTTGATGTTGATTGTCGACACGCAGTATGTCTCCGTCTGGGTTCCATCGTCGTAGAGTTGCTGCATGCTACGTACGATCAAACAAGCCTTTTATATCAGGACAGAATACAAGTTAATTAACCTGGAATCCAAGCCAAAATATATAAAGAGAGAAAGATGATTTCCATTTTTGACAGGATACATTAAAGGAAAAACTATATTACCACTTGGATGATAACATTGTTCACTACGCCAATATTGCTAGAAATTCTAAAACAGTTACTTATGTACAGCTTTTGGCTAAAGGTCAAAAGCCATGCTAAGCTTTGGGCTAACTGCTCATATCATTTTGCTAACATGATCTAAAGGGCAATGCTAACATGGTGATGTTTAGCAGTTATAATGCTGCTATAATGCTAATACCCGGTTGACCATCGTTTTGGTGTTAGCATGCTAACATTAGCTAATTCACAAATCAAACTGAGTCTAATATGAAATAATTTGTGTATTTGGCCATAATCCAAAGTATAAAACAAATGTAACTTTTCAATTGATGGTGTCACCATGTACAACTCAAGCTAAACACCAATGTAACTAAAGTCATTACCAAACAGTAACCGTTTGCAACAAATGTAGGCAACTTAGCAAGTGTTTGGCTCGCAGTTTCCATGTGCAATGAGATTTGTACTGACATTTCTGATGCTCTATGTTCCATCCCAAATAAAAAAGGACATCATCTGGCGCTTTTGGTTTATTCAAAATCACTTGGTTTCTGTTTTCCTCCGATATTAGTATAGTTAACTTTGCGTGTTAAATATATATTAGAATCGATTGCCGAAACAGTGGAAATAACCCAAATTGAAACAAGCCAGAAATACCCATTAAGCTAATAAGGTTGCTTGATCACGCAGCTAGAGCACTTTCTAAGATTAGCAGCAGTTTCTTGTTCTGGCTCATGGGATGCCAATATATTCAGTCAATTAATCGGCAAGTCAGTCAGCTACACATCAATCTAGTCCAGTGAAGAGTCACACAGTAATTGAACCAGAGCCAGTCAAGCACTCGGCCAGTTCCCGTGAGAAAAGTCCAGCCAAAAGGGCACAAGGCGATGTCCAACTCCTGATGATTTCCAGATGAGAGCCCAGACGGCCAGGCCTGAGACGAAAACACACTCAGAATACAAAAAGAGAGAGTGAGAGGGGATGGAAGTAGGGAGGGAGGTGGCAACAAATGAATGCACTGAATGAAGGAATGATCCTGCATATGAAAGTCCTGTGAAATGTTGAAACTCAACAGTCACAGCATTGTCCACCATCGTCGTGTGTGTGAGGAGGATCAACATGACGCAGTGGTGGGCTCTACTCATCATTCTTAACCTGGCCATGCACCTGGCAGCCTCTCAGCATCACAGGAAAAGTAGGTGTCTCTTTTATCTCCCTATCACTACGATTGTGATTTGCTTCCTCATTTCAAATAGTATTAGCTTTTGGAAACAAACATGCTTGACAGTTCAATCTTGTTTTGCTTTTGTGTTTGTGATTCTGTGAAATAATGTGTTTTTCTTCCGGAGATATTGGGAACATTGTGACATGCAAGACATCAACACTTGATTTTCCAATGAAAAGTGACTGGCCTGTTGTTACTGGATCCACTCACTTCTCCAAACTTGCATACTATAACATCCTTGGTCCTCCTTCCTTGCATGATGCTGAAAAACAGCTTCAGAACAGACAGGATTTGAGTGATACTTTAACTAAAATCGTTTTTAAAGACCTTTCTGCCCTCTGCCAGGAATTATTGCAAGAAAAGTTGGGGAATTGTTGTTTTTATTCATGACAATGTAATATTTGTTTGGCCACCTGAGGGGAGCAGAGAAAGCTGCAAACACAACATTGACATATCACCTTTTTGAAGCAAACATTTGCCTTTTACACATCCATTACACATTAGAATGAATTTCATCCATTAGATTACACAGAAGGTATTGACTAGCCATTGCTTATATATTTTTGGCATATTAAAACTCAGTCAAAACAACATTTATATCTTTCATAAACAAAAATCCTATTCATTTGAAACTTTTAATTGTGAAATAGAAAGATTGTCAACTTTATCTTGACTTTTTTCACTGAGTAGAACTTAATCAACTATGTAACATTTTTTAATACAGACTAATAAATCCCAGTGTGTCTAATCATCATCAGTCTTCCAACTAATTTAATATCCGAAGTTTCAGATCCTATCTCGTCTTTCCTTGCGCTACTTGACTTGCTTAGCTTGTAGAAGAAGTGTCTCACAGTGGGAATATTTATGGGGAAGTCTCTGTTTACACTGTAAATGTTAGAGTTTGCATCTGAGCTGCTAGAAAAATGCAGTTTGTTTGGATTTTAATATGATTTGGAAGTGAATTTAAATACTAAGCAGAAGATGGGCCATTGCGGCTAAGACTTTCATTCCCTCCCGTGTCCTTTTCACCCCTGTTACCCTAAGCCAGAGGGATCCAGACATCCATAATGTTTTTGTTTTTGTTTGCCTCTCTCTCTCTCATCAAGACATCCCTCCAGCCAGGAATACCATTTAGCCCTGCTAATTAATGGATCTTTGTTGTTCCCTCATCTCCTTGCAAGCAGTTAACGGGAGATTACAAGTTCCCTGCCTGTGCATAATGACATTGGGGGAAGCCTGCCCGTCCAAATGCAGATTGTTTGGAGCTCTGCAGGAGGGAGGGGAGGCATGAGGGAAGAACAGACTCAGAATGAGCAACATGAAAAGCAAAGATGTAGTAAGAAGAGACACCTTTATTTGACACTCAAAAAAGGCAGCTAGAAAAATCATTTTTTCCGCTGCAGTGGCACGTTAAAAACTGAATATTAAATACTAACAAATCTTTTAACTGGCTTAATATTTACAATAACTGGAATGAACTGATTTCGATAACTTGGTAAACATTGTTTTTGACCATTTACACAGAAAACGTTACTTTTAGCTGCCTGTTGCTATTGTGTGTACATTTGAGTCATGTACCTGCTCTCCTACTAGCTCCTACAAATGAACAACATCACATTTTCTTTTTAACTTCCTTGCATGAATGTTGTGGTCTGTTTCTGCGTCTGCATCAGTGCTGCTCCAACCATGTGAGCTTTAACAAGCAATAACATTTTATTAACATTATTATTATTATTATTATATAACATTAATTCAAACCACCTACGCAATCTTTTATCAACATAACCCTTGTTGTGATGAGCACACTTTCTCTTTGTGCTGTTTTGTTTACCTTGACAATGCCTCGATGCAGCTAAAGTGTCTCTTCAGTATCTATTATGACTGCACAGGCATTCCTTCAGCGCTGCTGATCGTGCATTTGGGAGTCACTTACTCAATGAGCAGTGGTAATTTTCACCTGCTAGTTGCAATGTTTTCATAGCTTCATGTCAGTGTTGGATCTAGAAAAAAATCCTTAGTGCCGTTTGGGGTATTAGAACAATTTATGGAGGGTTTTATCTTCTACAATTACACTCCAAAAGTTTTTGAAGGCTGATTGTGAATATCCATTGTTGAGAAGTTCCTGAAACGTATGTAGAGTTTACAGCAAAGCTTTTGTCGCACAATAAATAGTTTTAGATCAGAGTTAGATGCTAAGAACGATACCACTACAGTACATATATCTACAGCAGGGGCGGATCTACGGGGGGCAAGGGGGGGCAGCTGCCCCCCCACTGTAGAGCCTTGCCCCCCCAGCTGCCCCCCTAACTTTTGTTTCCCTAAAACTGTACTAAAACAAACCTACACTATTTCCACAAGCTTCTCAAGCAACGAAACAAGCATTACATTAGTTAAAAGTGAATCATTTTAAATATCATTTTAGGCCCGTTAAAAACGCAGCTACGGCCCTGCATTAAACTGCAGAGCGGGGTTCACACAGACCGCAGCTCACACCGCTACAGAGAGGGAGCGAGCTGTCCCAGCACCTATGGATCACCTGGGAGCATTTCCCCTTCCACTAGTTTTGTTTTTACTAAGGACGAGAGCTTGAAACTAAATATCAATACAACGCTGCCGTTTGAATCGATAGCGTTTAACAGACGGGCGCTGTTTGGGGCGTTACGTTACAAAATACTACGCAGACAGCGTTAGCTGGGAGATCGATCACTTTGCTAAACTATGCGGTAGCCTACTATTAAATCCACGTAAACTACACATCACAGCCATGAGGCCAGATCAATGAAACCAGGATACATCCTTTACCGTAAAAACTGGATCCAAACACAGCTGCCTGTGTGCGTTTGATCAATACTTTCTGATGTTATATTTATGATATGCTACATATTAGCTAGGCTACATGGCCCTAACGTGTAAAGTTATACAAGCATTTGTGCCAGTGCTTTTCACAAGTAGACTCTTGCAGGCCAGAGTATAGGAGTGATTCAACAACAACAACAAAAAGACATATCTGAGAAGTGATCAGGACGAACAGAAAGAGGAAAAGGAAAAGAGATTTCACTGAAGAGACCAGGAGGGTCAGAGCAGGAGGAAGAGGAGGAGATGAAGAGACCAGGAGGGTCAGAGCAGGAGGAAGAGGAGGAGATGAAGACATTAGTGAAGAAGAAGAAATATATGTGAGGAATAAAGATGAAGTGTCAGAAAGAGGGCCAGAGGCAGGGATCAGGAGGCAGATGAAACTCCAGCTGGACCACATGGTATGTTCTTATTCTCCTTACATATTCATTACAGCAGCACAATCTAGCAGCTCTTAGTATTGACAATTATTGATTGAAATGTGTTGCTGCACAGGTCACCTTTAGCTCTCTGAAGAGATGGCGGTGATGTCATTTGTGTACTTAATTATAACTAAGTACTTACAGTATGCAGAATTAGAGTATTCTCTGAATCGGGTGCCTTTTGGGTCTTTATATCTTTGAAAAATGAAACCAAAATGTTTGGTCATAACATCTGGTAGTGGACTACTTACATTTCCCACCTCAGGCACAAAATATAAATAATTACTAGGAATGTACTTGAAAAAATGTAACAGGGTTGACATTTTTGACAAAAAGTAGCCATGAGACCTTGTTTAGCTAAGATATGGCACCACATGGAAGTCAAGGACATTACAACATTGTAATATTTTGCAAAACTATTGTTTATTTTGTAATAAACAATTATTTACTATTATTAATTCATATAACAGAGTTGAAATGTTGAGCTTGTCAATCTTAATCTGAAAATACAAAAACTGAAATAAGAGAAGAAACTGACACTTGCCTTTCTTTGCCATCTTTTCTTCAGAAGACTTTTGTGATGTAATTCCCTCCATGCAGATCACACATGGACTGATCCATTATTTTAATAGGAGGGTAAATGGTATGGCGTGACAGGGTTGAAACAAACTGAGGGACGTGTGTCAATATTGCAATTTCATAGATAATTCAAGTATTTTTTCAGAATGTATTTTTGATCAGTTAAAGTTGACAAGCATGTGATTATATTAGCAGCAACATTTTGGAATAATTGGCCATTTTGATTTGTTTAATATTAAATTAATATGTAATAATGCTTAGTGAGCACATGCAAATATGTCTGTCTAATACTAAGACAACACATTTTTTGTAATGCAAAACAACCTGTTCCATTAATGAATTGCTTTAAAATACATTTTGTAGTTTACTTTCATTTAAAATGGTTGAAGTAAGCTTGGGGGACTCAAAGGGCACCCGATTGTTTGTCTGAACACCTTTTTTCTCTTGTGCATTAAGAACACTTGTGTTAGGGCATGAATTAACAATAAATAGGTTATATACAGTGTAAAATACCACGTACTGTCCGCCCTCCCATGCCACCCTGGCATGACCTCTTGCCCCCCCTTTGCCACCCCATGTAAAATGTTCTAGAACCGCCACTGATCTACAGTACAAATAAAGCTAGAGCCATAGATGCTTAGCTTAGCTTAGCATTTCGTTTTGAAGCAATAAATTAAACACATTGCTTTTATGAGCGTCAATATAAGTTCCTTGATGATATTATAATATATTATATAATATTATATTATATATTGAACAAGGGAAAACACTTTGTATGACTGTCGGTAAGTAACAAAAGAGAAAATTGCAATTATTTCAGTCTTATTGTTATTGTGAGGATTAGAAGCAGTACACCTGGCATTAAAAAAGTCCTTAGGAGTTCCTTAGATGGCAACATATTAGTTTTACCTTTTTACTGTACTGATGAGTTATATTTGGAGTTGATGGATGTGTTACTTTGTACAGCATTCAGGCTAGCTGTCCCCCAGTTTCCACTCTTCTATGCTAAGCTAGCTCTAGCTAGATTTTAACCATTGAGTGGTGTTAAGTTAGGTTAGTCTTGCAATAAGGAATACAGAAGTACAGTATCTCCCAAAATGACCAACTATTCAATTTTAGGTAAAGGATTTACAGATTAGTTTCAGATGATGGAGAAAATAGTTTGGACGTTGAACTCTTGACTTAAGTATTTCTATAATCACAACAATGGCCTTTTTTGGTTGGGGCAAGTTTGAGAGGGTGAACGGTTAAGATAATATGCTGACAATAACACCATGTAAGTGGGTTTTATTATTCTAACAATGTAACATAGGGCTGCATATTTTCTTTTACATTCTGAAATTCATGATGGCTTGGTTGTGAAAGCAAAGCCGGAGCTGAGCCTGTCAGTCGCCCAGGCAGGAAGCAGGTACATGGGGAGATGAGCCAGTGCATGTTGCTTTGGCTGGCCTCACAGATGCTATGAAGCCTAACTGTATCTGGACGAGGAGGCTGCGGGCAGCGGGGCCGATCGTTACTCCAGAATTGGCGAGAGAGCACACCGTGGATTCCGCTGACATGAGGTGTATTGTATCTGAATTCAGATGGAGCTCAGCGTTCATGCTGTATACCTCATTAAGATCTATGTGTGTGATCTGTGTGATGGCTTACACGCTGAGCCAATAACTGGATGGCAGCAGCATATGCGAGCAGTGGAAAAAGAGAGTGAGATGTCAAAAGAGGTTTAAATTACTTAGTTTTTCTGTGAATCCCCTTTTAGCTCTAGTCAACTTTACTTTTCACTTCACTCTGCTGAAGCAGTGTCTATCATCCAATCGCTCTTGGACTCTCACACAATGGATGGCATTGTAATATGAACATATTTTAAGAGTCAGGGCAGCAATAGTCGTATAAACAGTATGCAAGGGGAAAATGTGGATCCTTGTGTGACCTCTGCTTTTATATTCAAGACTTGACTTGAACTCCCAAAGACTTTTCATTACCAGTGGGAATATCTGCACAACATCACACAGAGTGGTTAAGCAGAAATGAGACTGTGATTATGGTGGTGAGAGATCAGGCAAGTTCTTAAATCCTTTCTTGGACACAGATAGCCTTTCTGATTTCATTAGGAATTAGCTTTCTGAGTAGCCAAAATGCTAAAAGATAAACTCACTATAGGGGTTTTCCTTCCAAAAATAACTGCGCCCAACAAATGCATAAACATTGTGCCACTGTTGTTTTTTTCACCTTGTTCAGCTGCACTCAATTGACCTAGAAGCTAATGTGGCTGTTTACCCATTTCAAGTATTTGTGTTAAGCTAAGCTAACTGCCTGTTGGTTGTAGCTTAATTGAAAAAATGTGAAACATAGGAAAAAAATAAAACAAAATACTTGAGTAAATATACTTATTTACTTCCTACCTATTGATCAAATGTGTCATAGCATGTGGAATTGGCAATTGTTATCACATTCAGTCAAATATAGATTTTGTATCATAAAGATGTGGCAACTGTTCCACTAGCTGAGAGATAGGTCTTTCTTTCCCGCCCTATCTGGAACACCACCAATAACGCGGTCCCTGATCTGCTACATTTCTGAACTGACACTCTGAAATCTGACCAATTGAGGTCAGCTACACCTGCCCCTCTGTGAGCGGGGGTATCTCACCTCTGGGTGCACTGGCCACTGCCACTTGTAAATATAGGAGCATCTGTGGCTCTGGTGAAAGACCTATTACCCTCTGCCCAGCTGGAGCCAGATTCCTTCCCACCTGCATAATATTTGAGCAGTAACGTATCTGTGTTTTCTCAACCTCTGGCCCATCCACAAGCATGACACATCGGATAATGTGCTGCCTAATTTCGTGAAAACAGGAGAGATCCTCTAATCTAATTTCCTGTACTTCTGGGTCCTAGCTCTGTATCCATCTGCATATAGGATAAAGCGCGGGACGTATTCGCTCATCAACCCCACGTTCCTGCGATCGGCGGAGGATGTGGACCTGCTTTTTGAGGTCAGTTCAGACCCTTTGTGTTCAGAGGCGCTGAAATGGTTAATGACTCGGCTTTAATACTGGAAGCCACTTTAATTATACTGGGAATGTGCAAAAGATCTGTCCCAGTCCAACATTTGTAGTCAATCTTCCTTTGCTAAAAATTGCTGTTCTGCTAATCATGTGGAGAGAACTGTGTGTACCCAAAGTTTTCCTGACATTGATGAAAGGAATGTTTTTTAAGTTGAATGCTGTCGTCAGTTCTAATCACAAAAAGGACAATAAAAATGTACTTATAGATAGACTTCTTCTTTCATTGGTGAACCTTTGGCCCGCAGATCCTGCTGGCTGGAATGCAGATCCAAGATGGAGAACACCACATGCTGATCCCAGATGAGGAGCTGGCCTCCCTGAGGAGCGTGGAGAAGCTGGAGGTCATCTGTGAAGACGTCCTGCCCAAGTCGCTCTCAGACATCCGCCGCCTGACAGTGGAGCTTGGCCGGCGCCGCCAGCCTTTGAGCTGGCAGGACTTCGAGAGGACGGTGCTGACGCTGGTGTACACCACCCAGACGCTGGCTGCAGCGAGCAGCCAGCAGCAGAAGGAGGCATGGACAGACGCAGCGGTGCAGCTGTTCAGAGCCCTGCAAAAAGACCTCAAATCCTCTTGAGGGAGGATCACAAGATTTATTATTTTAAGATGTTTTTATGGGCATTCACTTGCTTATGGTCACTGATTTATTGTATGTGTTACACTGCAGTTCCTGTCTGAAGCTTTTTCCAAGAAGTTATCGATCCAGTATACTGATTGTTATAGAATACAAGAAATCAACCAAAAAAGTTCCATCCACTAGTTATTGAAAACACTAGTGGGTGGACCTTAAAGGTCTCCTATTATGCTATTTTTAGGCCTATATTATGGGTCTCAGATATATAAAAATATATTAAAAAACATGTCTATGATGTGTTTTGCTCAAAATACCAAACAGATCATGCATTTTAGACATCCCTCATATCCCTCTAGTTCAGCCCTGTTAGAGAAGCGCTGATTCTGTGACTGTAACTTTAAATTCGGCTGATGCTGGCCCCGCCCCCGTTTGAGCACGGCAAGGCAAGCAGTGAGGTCTCCTCTCTGCCGTGATTAAATGCCATATTAGGTTCCAAACCACTTCAAGGATTATTTCTGAAACAGTATGGAGCTCAAATGCTTTTTCTCTTGCGGGTTTATCACAAAGTGAGTTCCTTTTTTTATTTCCTGCTTTTTTACACATATTCTCTCCAGTACAGGTTAGCTATGAGTGTTAGTGATGCTTGCTAATGTAAACAAAGACCATATTACTTCCAAAAAATGTTGTGCTTTGTTTCTGATAGTGACGTTTCTGATAGGGCCGTGGGTGTAAAGCCAGCCCACATTTCAGATATTACGTCATATCGGACGCAAATCTGGATCAGCTCCATTGTACCCTCGTTTTTAGAGATTTGTGTACGGAGGAAAAGAGAGAGGTTTTGTTTTCTGACACTTTGTGAGTTTCCTGACACAACGGGGACACAAACAAACTTGCCTGATAGGAGACCTTTAAGATATGATATTTTTTGTATTTCTGATAACAAATAACTTTCAAACTCAATTATTTAATGCACTTTACGCTTTTGTACCAACGAATCATCGAATAGCTGTCAATTTAACTTCAGACCGTTCCTTCTCTAAAGGTTTAAGCAGAGACAAGCCATTCAAGAAAATGTCAAAATATGTCTCCTTTATGTAAAGTTAATCTACTTTCTACTAGATAACTTGATTTATTTCCATCTTTTTTTTGGCGTTTTGTTTCTATTACACATTTCTGATTAAAATACAGGACACAGTTGGGAAAGTGTACGACTATGAATCACTGATTTATGTTCTTTTGCTTTTTTCCAATTGTATTTCTCCTCCCAGCTCGTACATTCTCAGCTCTGATTGTAACCATAATGCATTATGTTTGATCCTACTTATTTGTTCATTATGTGGAAATTAAATAAAACCAGCAAAGCATCTGTGCTCCATGTATTTGCGCACACCACAGCGTGGCCTCATTAATCAAATGTGTCCCAGCGAGCTATAATAAACTGCCACATGCCTGCAGTCTCAATGGGCACATGGACATGCAGTGGTTAGTCTAAAAACGAGACAAAAGAAAGAACCTAAATACTAGTAAATAGTCTGGGTGTTGTTCTGGACCCAGTGTGACTTTTTTCCGATGATTCTGACCTTTAGCCTACTTAGGATTAGCTAAATGAAACTATATGCAGCAGCACATTAGTTTGACAACTTCAAGCAGACTGTACATGTTTGACTTTAAATGGCATTAGTTGCGTCTCACTGTCTAGAAAAGATTGCGCGGTTCTTTTGATGAAAGGCCACAGATTGTACTTAAGAGTCAGTTTGCTTCAATACCCCTGATTGCTCATTTGAGCAAACTGTTCAATGTTTGATGAATGTTTGCCACCCATTTCCTCACTTCTTCTTGAAATAGGTACTTGCCTTAATTGGCTTTCGTGCAGTTCACTCATCTTGGAGTGGATAGAAAACATATATCTGGTTTGTGCTGTTTTCCCTCCTTGAGTCGATTGGTTTTACATTTGCTAACATTTTGGTTCAATGCAAGCTTTTATCCAGCCTTGGAAATGTTGCTCTCCCAATGCTTTTCACTTCCTGCGTGTTTCCACAAACATTTAATGTCTGAAAATGTAAAAGATGATCACGGATCTTCTTTATTTACAGGATCTTTTTTCTCATGTCAGTATTCATTTGATGCCCAAAGCTATTTACGCTGACTCAGGAGAAGTTATTGACATACAGATGCTGATGAGATTTGGGACGTTTCTGGGCACTACTTGACAGAGGGTGAAGAAACCAGGTATTGGCACAAAAAAAAGGGAAAGCTTCAGATTTTGTTCTCAGTATTGACTGACAGTTTCATTTAGGCACTCCCACACTTTCAGCCCCTCTGCTCCAAGTTATTATTTGACTCCAGACCCAGACTGTAATGATTCTTATCTTTGGATCTTATAGTTATCTGCTTCTGGCGTAAAGTACACCTTAATTGTCTCGAAAAAAAGACTCCATGACCGCATTGATTCTCTTTATCTCCATCTCCATGGTATAGATTTAACAAGAGAAATTAGGATTTAACTGATCAATATACTTCATGAAAATTGACTCTGTAATATTGAATCCCTTTAGTTTTAACCCTCAGCACTTTAATACATGTTTAGAGAGCAGCACCAAGTGGCAGTCGGCAGAACTGCTGTCTTAGTTCTCCATCTGAAACTATGCTCTTACATAAAGCTTTATCTTTATTAAAGAAATTATATTTAAATCTTATAGTATTATCACCAAAATATACTATAGATGGATAGATCTTTATTGTAGCGGTAGGTTGTGAGGTGATGATTAGATAGATATTTATATATACTTTATTCATTCCAAATTGGGAAATTAGTGATGCATTTATGTATTTATTAACTATATCACTTTATATCAATATTATATTTATGTCACTTTAATGTTGCAGCTAGTAAACGTGAGGCTCATTTTAATGACTCTACATACCGCTGGATAGCTTGTGATTTACCCAAATGTTCTTTATTATCATCCAATCAACAGGAATCATTACACCTAAAAGACATTTTGCTCCAAAACATAGCCCTTAAAGCGTGATATAATTAGCAATAAAACATTACATGGATTTCTTCTCTTTTACCTTAATAACATAATAAACAAAGCCTTTCCTCTTCAGGGGGACAGTTATTGCCTCTCTGTGTAAATATTCGTAATGATCACCAGGACATGTTCACTAGGTGGCAGCATTTCCAAATATTATTCTTTGTTTTATCTTCATTAGTCATGATTGTTTCATTTGTTATTCATGTGTGCAGATGTTTTGTGGGTCCAAAGGGACAACTGCAGTAATGCTACAACATGTATTAGGAGTATACTCTATCCTCATTCCCTATCCTGAGACCATGTAGTGTGCATAGACTAAGAGCCTTTGAATCATTACAATGTCATTCTGTTATGCAGACACAACACGTAAGCTGCTGCCAGAGACAAAAATAAATGTGGCATTTCCTATTTGATTTCTTTATTCCTTTATTTGGGGGGTTGCGTTTGAGGCGGCTTCATTAGAGCTGAATCTTGTCAGAAGCGGGAAGTGTCTTTCCTGGTAGGGATATTTCGTGATCACCTCCAGATGAACAGCCAGTTGTTTCAACTCAAGCTTATCAGCTGCATATGTTTCCCCCTCAGCCCTCAGACATATTTTCAGCCTCACTGCTCCTGCACAGAGGGACCGATGAGACATCACAATGTGTCACATACGCTCTGTGCAGTTCTGCTCCAAGTTAAACAACTCAATACCTTTTTCCATTTATAAAACCATCGCACGCCAACCTGCCATAATAAAACCTCTGAAAGATTGTAAGAATTTCTTCCCCCGTCTGCCACTCAGATGACTTGCTGTATAACTTGGCGTCTCTCTGCATATTATGTGAAAAATAATTCAGGATCCTGACCCAAGGCATCAAACGTTCCAGTAACACCATTAAAAGCATTCCTCTTGCAAAAATCAGCAACAGGCTGTAGGGGCAGATTCTGTTCTTTGAAGATCTTTTGAGACAATATGTTCATGTTGAAACTGTAGCTTTCTACGGAGCTCCCCTGGTGACATTGGTGAGAAAAATATGAATACGTGGCCACGTAGGCCTATTAATAATGCGTGGCCACAAATTAGTTATTACGTTCCCACGCATTAGTAATTCGTGGGAACACAATAATTATTACGCAATAACTAAATCCAGATAGTCTAAACTGATGACTGAGTGACAACACTAGCTAAACTCTGTAGGCTACGGCTATTATCGCGAAGCATGGATCATTTTGATTTGATTTCATTTTATTTTCATTTGGGTATGAATTATAATGATATTCTGCAATCCCTTGCAGTTAAGCACAGTGTCATCCTTAGCAAAAGGCACTTGATTCGGCTGCTGAAAATGCACGGTTTGAAACGTAGGCTAGTTGAGTAAGTTAAGTTAGAACGATATTGGCAGATTCGGATTTCACGGATCAATAACTCATGAACAAAACGTTATTCAGACACAAATTACGTCTCCTAAGTACCGTGGTAAGGTTGACAACGAACTACAATCACATGTTGATAAAAAAAAAGCCAATATGGGCCTCCTCGCTCCGAGCTGGACACATTACATTGGTCTCTATCTGCAGCCGGAGAAGAAACGAGTGCTCAGGGACCGTCTGCAAAGTGCAACTCCGAAAAAAGAGAATATAATAATATTCAATCACTTCACTATTCTACAGTATATTACTACCAAACTCATTACACACATCAATAGTCTTCTGTTGCTCATACTACATCAGAGAGTTTGGAAGAATATGGTTTGGAATAATTTTGGGGGTGAATTTTGTAGAGTTATATTTGTATTTATTCATGTTAGCAAACTATGGATAAGCTTAAAATGGGAATAATTTGGGTAAAACTGTGAGCTGGATTTGGGGCCTGTTGACATGTGTTTTTGAGGACAAAGGAAGATGGGGGAAGGTGAGAGCATGTCCTGATTTGCATTCAACTTAGAACAAGCTACAGTGGTTGTGCTATTAAGAGAGGTCCCTTGGGTTTCTCTGGTGGTTATCAATAGTAGCAGTTAAGTGAATACTGTTCAAACAATACCTGTGTTTGTGTTTTATATTGATTTCTCTGTTTTATCCTTTCATAAATGTAAGGACTACAAATGGCTATAAACATTCTGGGCTGGTTGGAGTAAACAGGGTTTTATTGCCCTGTGGGGGAGGTGTAGGTATGCAGGCCTTGAGACCTTTTGTTGTAAAGTGAGCCTGTGTGGTTTCCTGCTGCGTTTCCTGCTGCGTTGCGTCTCCCAATGAGATGACCTGAAAAGATGACCAGCTGACCTAACACCAAACCCCTCCTTCTTACTCTGGTATATATCCGGTGGATCCCTGGCGTTCGGCCTCTTCTTCACATGCTGCCCTCGGGTGAAAGTAGCTCTGGAGTATGCGGACTAGAGCAGGAGTAAGCCGGCATTACTCCTTAAGCATTGCAATATAACTGTAATATATCATGTTGTATTGTAATGATTGTATTGCATTGTCATATTGCCATTAAAGTAGATTATTGTTAACGGTTACTTTGTAGATATGGATTCCTTCCTGTATTATAACCAGCTTCATAGGAACGCGCGGAGATTTGAAAAGCGGACCAGTTATCCCTCCAAATCTCTAACAAAATGGTGACCCGACGTCTATAACGAAGCTGAGGAAGAATTCAGACGCTTTCAAACATCTCAGACAATCAGCAGGACTCTGCAACTTTGCAAATAAGGTAAGCAGACGATGAAAGTCGCCTGTCTGTAATTGGATACGCTAAAACTTTAGGATTGTCTGTAGGCGTTTCACAGTGTTTTTATAGTTTAAATGGAATATACAATGCATATTTTACTATGTTAGGAAAGTTATATACAAAACGTAAACGTGGATCGACAGGTAGACGAAAGTCCTGCGTGACGTAAAATAGAGCAGTTTGGCGCGGATCTGCAGGTGTTTATTCCTGAGTGGCGTAGAAATGGTGCAGTTTGTGTGAATGCGAGGTTTGAATCCTGCACGGCAAAACCTGAAAACTCGATATATCAGATCGAGTCGCCGTTTAAAACTGGGGTTTAATTAACAGACCAATGCTAAAAGCTTAAAGCCAGAGGTCTGTTATATATTAAACCAAGGTAGAGCGTTTCCCTTTGTCTGGAAACTTCTGCTGCTGCCATCTAGTGGCTGAAAGGG